GCAACTCAATCCCTGCATTTCTGAATGAAAAAGCGTGAAAACACTGGCAATACAAAAGAAAATCCCCATGCAGAAATGGGATATACAAGAATAGGGCTAGGGCGCCAATATAGGAAGCTGAAAATGTAATTTATTCCATGCATCCCCAGCAGATCGCCGAAACAAAGGAGAGATAAGAAAAGAAAATCTCCAGAAGTGGGGTGTCTACAAAATGAAGACAAATTGAGGAGACAGAAAAGAAAAGGAACCCTGGAATGTTGATAAAAACAATCACCAAAGTCGGCACCCCCCTTATCAGCAGGGGGACATCTACATTTTCTCCGGAACTATAGGGTCATATTCCACCCCTCATGGGAAGCGCGAAAAAAATGGCCCAGCTGTTGCAAACACCCACTAAAAATCTCAAGACAAACCTAACCTCTTTCCTAATGTCATGTCATTACATTTTGCGCTCCAACAAACTCTTTCGTTACAAGTGCTCCCATAATTAAGTGGTGTTGAGGAATTTGATGCGTACACAATGCATTTGGACGTAGTGAACGAGATAATCCCTGACGATTACTTCAACTAGTTCAATGTACAACAGTTTGAAAGTATTTCTGCACGAACGTTGCAGGAATTCATAACTGCTGTGGTGGACGTCATGAAGAAACATGGTATGAATGATGTTTAATATCTTCTTTTCATTGGGTGAATTCTGACCTATCATGAATTTAAGGGTTGAAAACTCTACTAAGAAACATGGTATGAATGATGTTTAATATCTTCTTTTCGTTGGGTGAATGCTGACCTATCATGAATTTAAAGGTTGAAAACTCTACATCAAATTGACATCAAAATGATGGAAGCTCACTCTGCCCCCGTAACAGATGAAGAATCTACTTTGTGCCTTACAGTTTTGGACAACCTGAATGATGACATTGTCAACAGTACTCATCAAGAATCGGCTATAACCCAAGGTTAGTTTCATCGCATCCTTCAATTATCATCCTTCCGTTTTATAACCACTTTCAATCAGTCGCTTTCAGTAGATCTCATATTCTCCTTTAAACCTTACACATTCTTTTCAGCGTTGTGTTATTACAAGTGTCAACTGTGTTATTTCTAAATAAACAAGTGTAATTACATTTTTTGTATGCTACGGAACATTACGTTACTGATTGTTCCGTAATAGTGTCCGTACCGTAGTAAAATTTAGGGAACGGAACGATGTGTTGAGAAGCACAGCACAAGTGTTGTACAGTACAGGACATTACGTTACTGGTCATTCCGTAACAGTGTCCGTACCATAGTAAACGGAACAATGTGTTGAGAAGCACTGAAAAGTTGCAAAAACACGGACAAAATGAATTAGTCTGACAAAGAAAAAATAAAGAAATGATTCTCAGGGATCTTTTCCAGGAATTTTCTCCCACAGGCAACCAAATACATTCGTAGCACATAAAATTAGCGTACCACATACAATTGGTAAAAAAATTGACAAAAACAAATTCATCACTATTACAAAAACTTCACTGGTTCTCAGGGATATTTTCCCAACAAATTTGTCACAAGATTTCTGGTTCTCAGGGATTTTTCCCTGTAGTACCTTGCAAAGGCAACCAAATACATTTGTAGCAAAATTTGTACAAAAATTAAAGAAAAACAAATTTGTAAGAAGATTTCACTGGTTCTCACGAATTTTTTCTCTGCAGTACTATTACAGTACCTCACAAAGGCAACCGAATACATTCGTAGCATTTACAATTTGTACAAAAATTTACAAAAACAAATTTGTCACAAATAAAAAAATTTCACTATGGATTTTCCATGAAGTATCTCCCAAAGGCAACCAAATTAAAAAAAAAGTAACTTATTCTAATGACTGATTGTCATCACCCAAAAAACCAGGACCGAATACCTCACAACAACGCCCTAGATCTCAATTTGAATGTTTATAATTGTCACGTGCATTGAATGTCTTCCCATCACAGAATATCCTTCCAACGCCACCAATTGTACTTCCATTTTGGAATTGTCCTGCCCGTTTTCAATTCTTATTATTTTCACCTCTCTTGTTCCACTATCCGCCTAGACAATTGCATAGCACATTGAATCCATGAATAAACAATATAAACATCGAATAAAAAAAAATTTCAGTAAATTCGTTCAAATTTGTGTAGCATTTATGAAAATCAACTCACGCAGCTTAGCAGCATACGTCTGGAAACAAACATTCCCAAACACACGCCCAGTCCTGCAATTCCAAGAAATGCACCTGCCTTCGCATATTCAATACCCCCGAAGTACAATTTGACTCGAAACAAAGGGGCGTCTCCACTATCAGCCTTCAAAAATAAATTTCGAAATGAAAAATGTAATTACTTGAAATGTTCTTACCAAAAATGATTTTTGACTTACCTGGCTTGGAAAACTTTTAAAGATTTTCCCGCCAATTTTTGCAATTCTTGAGAGTGCAGCACCTGCCATCGCATATGCATATGCTGCTATATAAAGACTGAAACAGTACTACCTGTTCTCAAATATGTGTTTGCTCTTTGTTATTGGCCATATATTTAATTACATACAAAATTAAGGATTCAATTTGCACTTCTTGAAAACAGAAAACTTCAACGCAAGTTCATGTATTACTCAACTCCGAAATTGCTGACAAGATCTACAAACTCAGACTGCAAGCCGGAACTCCAGAATTTGCTGCCTGAGTCAAAGTCGTGCTATTTGAATGTTCTTGCAGGAAGTCTTTCAATCCTTACGTGAGACACCCCTCCGTGTTTGGTCATATTGAACCAGAGAATGTTGTTTAACTTTTGCAACCTTGCTGCCAAACACCAGTTTTCAATCCCCTCCACCAAGAGAATCACCGTGAGACCTGACCCTTGATAAACAACGTTGCAGTTAACAGAAAACATCTCTGCAAGAAAAATAGCTTTTGCAAGTGCAGTTTTATGTTACGGTTTTCCTTGTTCATGACTACATCTGCTTTTTTGTTACTGCCTTTAGCAGTTATATTCGAAAACGGCCCATTTAACCCAACGTTTTGGTCGTTAATAGGAACGTTGTTCCACGTAATTTACATGATGTACGCTTTGACAGAAGTTTTGGAAATTTTGTTCAAACATATCTGAGTAACGCATGTACAGAAAGGACAAATAATTGTACGGAAAGGACAAATAATTGCCAATAGTCATTTCATTTAAAACTTGTACTAAACAAAAAGGTACAGCACAATTGTACCACACAATACTTTGTTTTTGTCCTTCATCTCTTGAAACTGCTAATAACATTGTATAATCAAACGCCTAACTCTTGTAAGTATTGTTCTTAACAAACTTATTCATTGTAAAATCACTCACGACCGCTGCAGTTACTGAGAACCTCAACTTTATTAATGTTCCGTCAAGTGAATCCATTATTGTGACAAATTAAATTTATTATCATTATAATGTTCCACTTGATCACATATAATTTACATAGTAATTTTACATTTACTTTTATGAAAAGGTACACAAACGGATGTTCCTGCATGTACCATGACGAAAGGTACACAAACGGAACCGTCCTCAATAAGGACGGCTAACACACAGACAAACTTCCATTATTGTGACAAATTAAATTTATTATCATTATAATGTTCCACTTGATCACATATAATTTACGTAGTAATTTTACATTTACTTTTATGAAAAGGTACACGAACGGATGTTCCTGCATGTACCATGACGAAAGGTACACAAACGGAACCGTCCTCAATAAGGACGGCTAACACACAGACAAAACGTTATTGTCCAAATCTTACAACCTTGGCAACCCAAACGGATCCATCTCCTGATAAATTATCATCAGTTGAAGAATGCGAAGGATGTGCGTTGAGCAGAAATTTTGTGCAATTCATGAAGACAAAATGGCAGGACGTTGATGCGAGGGAAGTGATAAGCATTGAAACTACGAAATCAACAGCGGAGGATTGCGCCCGCTGTAAGCTTGTTATGAACCTCATCATGAATCTACTAAGATTCCATAGAGATGATATTGTGCTGTTCAACCTCGTCATGGCCACACAGTACGCCATAAAAGGATGTTCTTTGGGAATCGGGGCATTACGTATTGTTTTTCTACCAACAATACAAACATGTACTTTTATTTATCAGAATCGGGTGCAAAATCCGGCTTCTGCTGATCTTGGAGAAAGCAATGTGGCCATTAATGAGGAACAAGCAGGACCAGCACCTTGCCAACTGAGACGTGTCATACCTTCAAGAATGTCAAAGAAACGGACACGTTCTTCCAGCAGTTCCAGGAAATGTAACAGCGTCAGCGCCAGCATGAGTGAATGCGATGAAGGAATGACAAATGCATCCAAAAAAGTACGTATACAACACTTTTCCAAATTTTTGAAGATGTCATCATTTTATAAATTAATTTTAAAATATACTTCTCGAGATACGTAGTAATGAATGTATAATTTTTCACTGTTTCAGAAGAGTGTGCGCTGTGCAAAAAAACGGAAGGGCGTTCCAAAAAGGGGGAGGAAGCCAGCTCCTATCAACATTATTACACCATCCGCCAGGAAAAGGAGCAACAATGTCATGAACCAGCACAGACACCTGGTCTTCAACCGTGGGGAACAGCAGGTAATATCACAATACGTATTTTTATAATATATTCCACTTGATAATTTACACAAATCAGTATATCGGAAGTAACGGGATGGATATAAGCAAAAATTGCTTTTATTGTGCTTATATTGTGCTTTCTATGTGTGAGTTTTACGAAATGAGAGGACACTTTTATTTGTTTGGAAACCATTTATGTACAAAAATTTTTAATGCATTTCATAACAAATGTACAACATAAACAATCATTCAACAAGAAATGCTTGTACACCATTTTGTGCACCACCAACACGCTCATCACATGGACGATGAAGCAGTGTAATTTTGTATTGACAAGCTGGGTTTCTGCAGATGAAGAACATCATGATCCATTTTTGATATCTGTCCCACGGCAGTAAATTTGCATCAGCGAGGGATATGTGACCAAACTTCAACTGTCGGCCACAATGTGTGTGTGCTAGAATGTTGTCCCACTCATAATTATTTATATCTTCAGTCCAGTACATCTTGTTCGAATCCTCCTTAATGTATTCGCAGCAAAGGTAGGTCAGCTTGTATGTCCGTGGTCCAGTCGTTCTCCTTGTAAACTGTAAAATTTTTGAACAAAAATTGTAATAACAAATTATATTTTCAAAATGTAAAACGAATTATACCTTTGATTGCACTTGTGACAAGTTTCTGGAGTTATATACGTTGCTGTTCGTCTTTATAATGAGCATGACGTCCACAAACAACAGCACTTCTTTCTATATTCGCGTGAATAAATGACATACAATGACATATAATTACATATAATATTTCATATATAAATTATGAAATAGTTATACAAATTGAAACTTGATTCAAATGAACACCGCACATGATGATCACACTACACTAAACTTTAATTTTGTTTGGAAGAATGCTCTCCCGCATGTGCAAGGGATGTTTTTCATCCATGATGTGATGGAATACCAGTGCCAGTCATCCCCCAGGGCAGCCGAATTTTATATGCAGCAACTATAATAACTGCTGAAAGCGATTTCTCCAAGGACCAAGCTCCTCCTCCTGAAAAGCATGCCTGCTATTGGCTGCTAGCATATTGCATTTTTTTTCCTCCATACGTACTATACTTTTCATGAAGGAGACAACCGACTTGTCCTTGGATAAAGAGAGTGTCCAATTACTTTTGGCATAAGCCTATATTTTTCGCGCTTTATTATGGCGGCATTTACCATCAAAGGACAGGCGTATGTATTACAAGGAATCCTATTTCCGGGGGCTTGTCGAACATGTGTTTGGTCATAAATCTTTTCACACATGGTCCTTCCAATTCGGTGGAAGGAACATTCGGTCCTAAAAAAAATTTATTTCTGCTGATTGAGAACCCGATCACAACTATATTTTAAAAAAACTTTGATTCTTACAGGTTTTACATTCTAGTATAGTATACATGTAAGATGCAACAGGATTCGGAAGCCATGGTTACAGCTGACTATATGAAATTCCTATACAGCCATCCAAGGCTCCCAAATCCAATTGCACCTGTATATCCTGTAGAGTGAATGAGCAGAAGGTGGGAACACAGTCAGTATATAGTAACGATACGAGATACGATACGATACGATACGAGATTGCGGGAGTCTGGGCTATGGTCTTATCAATTTCCAGACAAATAACCCAGGCTACCGAACCCAATCACAAATTTTGAAACAAAGCAGAAGGTCGTAATTGGATGGAGGAAGCCTGGGCTACGGTCTTATCAATTTCCAGACAAGTAACTCAGGCAGCCTAACCCAATCACAACTACAAATCAGCCGATCCAAAGTAATGGGATGGTGGGAGTTTGGGCTATGCTGGTATTATCGATTTCCAGACAAGTAGCCAAAGCTCTTGAAACCCAATCACAACTCTTTCAGCTCAACAGTCGGTTTAGCAACGGGATGGTGGTACTTTGGGATATGGTCTTTTACAGGTCACTAAAAGTACCCCAGATTACCACAAACCCCATAACAATTCATTTGCATCACATGTGCACGTTGTCACGGAATACTTTCATAATTACATTCACAACTCCTTCTCTTCCGGAACCTTCAAAGTACATGAACTCTTATAAGAATGAAGAACCTGTAAAGAACCCCAAATCCCACTGAAGAGATTCAAACTCAGGAGATCCAAAATACAAGCCAGTGTTCAAACCAACTGAGCTACCCGCTTTGGGCTGTTATCCCTATTTTCCGAAAGATCAATAAAAGACACTATCGCAGTTAAGAAGAACGTCTTCTTCTGTACGCGATTAATCTAATAAAGATTTTAACTTTCCAAGAACAACTTTTTGTCGAGAAGATTTCTTTTCCTGTAGCCCGAGTTTCGAAGTGAATTAGACTTCTCGTTATAAAGACGTGAATACGTATATTTCTTTGTTACTTCAACAAACGCCAGACCGACAATGAATACCAGATATACACTTCGCGGACCTTAAATAGATTCAGAATAAACCTGAAACTTAACTTGCAAGTAGGATACAAGATTTCCAACTGTGACACAGTTGAATTTAGGAGAAAAAGGTTAGGCGCCTCAAAATTGGTTGCTAAAAACCCGTGAAACATGCATACGTTGTATACTTAACTATAGGGAAAGAGAGAAAGTTGGTATAGTAGCAACCAAAATGGAGGACGCCCTCCATTGGGGTGCAGAGGGTCGGCTAAATACAACAAAGTAATTTAGCAACACCATAAAACTGCAGCTGTCAAGGAAACCCTGACGTAAACAGCTGAGGAATTAGGACAGCATCACATTTCTTCCTTTGCCTTGGAGAAGGTTGTGTCACACAATACTTCTAAAAGAAAAGTGTGTTACACAAAATTTAAAAAAAATTGCTATTGATGTATTACAAAATGTGGCCCAACAAAATGGAAAATATGAACAATTTACTTCACTTGGACTCATCTTCGTTCTGCACCCACTTAACGCTACTTTCTTTTTGCCAGTAGGAATAATTTCAACATTTCCGGATGTACAATAACATGCTTCTTCATTTATAGGCTTCCGCATCCTCTGCTGCTGTATTGTCAAAAAACATTCCTGCAGCACCATCAGCACACGCAGAATCTTCACCTGAATTGGTCAGTGTGTCCGTCCTTTACAATGCATTTGCCTTACGTGATGAAGAAGGTAAGTTATTTGAATACCAAATCTATGATTTCCTAACATGTGCTTAATGTAGTTCTTACATACATTGTAATTGTAGGAAATGTTGCAAGCTATTTGCCAAAGTGTTATTTGGATAACACCGCTGAATCTGTTGCTGCTTACGGTGCTTTCATGCACTGGGCTTTGGAAGGCCACACCCACATGCATGATTTACTGCAAGATAAGGAACCAAACTACAATGGTACATAATATATTTCAAGACTTGTATTGAATAAAGTGTTACCTAAACATTAAACATTCTTCTTGATTTGTACTATTGCAGGACCTAAGAATGACTGGAGGGAGAAAAGTTGCACATTTACCCTTGACCGCGGGTTTGTGCAGAAAAATTTTGGTCGATCAGAATTTAATGACAACCCTCTGTGGGACTTCCCATGCCATGCCATTCCAGGAGTCATGTCCTGCACTGAAATTCATTTCCCCCAGAGGGTGTACGAAGGATGCTTGGATATTCAGAGGATTACACCTCAGGAGATTGCTAATGTCCCATTTGGCATGGTAAGAATATTGAACTTGCATATTAACCTTGTATCCATGTATAATGACAGAAAGTAATGTACATAATGTACGTAACAAAAGAAATCTCGGGAGAAGAACTGTAAAAGATGAAGCACTCATCCTCGTTCCGGTGATCACCGGAACAAGTATCCCAGTATACAGAACACTCGTCCCGGTACGGGACATGTGATAGTATCCACACTAAATTTTTTACAATATCTCATACAAATTTTGTAATGAGATATATGTATGAGATACTACATTTTCATCATTTTGGTCGCTTAGGATAACACTCCTGTTCCCTGCATTATGCTTGTTGCTGCGGAGTATATTGACAAGGACTTCTGATTATTCATGCGTCTGGATGACCTAGAAGAACTAATTCTTCAAGTCAGAGCGTACTGTGGAACCCTAATACGCATGGTTATCAGTGAGACAAACATTGAGAGTGATGCTGGACCAGGTGATCATGCCAATGAGGACGTCGACAACATAACAGTTAGTACTTTAATAATCATCACGTAAACCTTATACACACTTCTCGATGCAGTAATTATTTAAATATTCTAGTTTGCTCTTCAAAGTTAAATCCGCATACCTCATTATAAATGTACAGTTAGTACTTTAATAATCATCACGTAAACCTTATACACACTTCTCGATGCAGTAATTATTTAAATATTCTAGTTTGCTCTTCGAAGTTTAATCCGCATACCTCATCATAAATGGTAATCATCATTATCATTATTCAGTTATGTCCACTTTAGGATGTAATATTTGATAGTTGATACTGGGACACTTCATATTGCGTGTGACTCAATAGAAAAGTAAACGATAATGTATACAAATTGAGAATGCTTCCATGAAATATCAAATGCTCATTGACATTTCAGAAGAAACGCTGTGGGTTGTATAACTCCCTCATCGTCCGAGCCGTTTTTCAAGCAGATTCCAGCGGGGGCATCAGGAATTACGGGACGTGTTTCGTACGAAAAACTGAAAAAAAAAACCGACGCAGCTCCCCCATTCACCCAATGCAGGATCGACTGCCTTTTTGGCCATAGTTCAAGAAGTATTATAACAGTTGAAGGTTAGTTACTCGTATACACATACGCATATTTCAGTCATACATGTATTATAACTTTTGCATGCTTGTCTTAAATACAGAAGGTTTCCTGCCCCAACTTCTCAATAAAGTGTTGGAGGAAGAAGTACAGAATACAAATTTGTTGGATGCAGATGGGGCAGCAACATTACTTCANGGCATGGTAAGTATATTGAACTTGCATATTAACCTTGTATCCATGTATAATGACAGAAAGTAATGTACATAATGTACGTAACAAAAGAAATCTTGGGAGAAGAACTGTAAAAGATGAAGCAGTCATCCTTGTTCTGAATAATGATAATCAATATCAATATGTTTATGATCAATATCTTTATCAATATCAATATGATTCATCAATAATATCTCATACAAATTTTGTAATGAGATATATGTATGATATAATACATTTTCATCATTTTGGTCACTTAGGATAACACTCCTGTTCCCTGCTTTATGCTTGTTGCTGCGGAGTATAACAACAAGGACTTCGGATTATTCATGCGTCTGGATGACCTAGAAGAACTAATTCTTCGAGTCAGAGCGTACTGTGGAACCCTAATACGCATGGCTATCAGTGAGACAAACATTGACAGTGATGCTGGACCAGGTGATCATGCCAATGAGGACGTCAACAACATAACAGTTAGTACTTTAATAATCATCACTTAAACCTTATATTACAAATTTTGTAATGAGATGTATGTATGAGATAATACATTTTCATCATTTTGGTCGCTTAGGATAAAACTCCTGTTCCCTGCGTTATGCTTGTTGCTGCGGAGTATAACGACGAGGACTTCGGATTATTCATGAGTCTGGATGACCTAGAAGAACTAATTCTTCGAGTCAGAGCCTACTGTGCAACCTTAATACGCATGGCTATCAGTGAGACAAACATTGACAGTGATGCTGGACCAGGTGATCATGCCAATGAGGACGTCGACAACATAACAGTTAGTACTTCAATAATCATCACGTAAACCTTATACACACTTCTTAATGCAGTAATTATTTGAATATTCAAGTTTGCTCTTCAAAGTTAAATCCTCATACCTCATTATAAATGGTAATCATCATTATCATTATATTCAGTTATGTCCACTTTACGATGTAATATTTGATAGTTGATGCTGGGACACTTCATATTGCGTGTAACTCAATAGAAAAGTAAATGATAACATATAAGAATTGAGAATGCTTCCATGAAATATCAAATTCTCATTGACATTTCAGAAGAAAAGCCGTGGGTTGTATAACTCCCTCATCGTCCGAGCCATTTTTCAAGCGGATTCCAGTGGGGGCATCAGGAATTACGGGACGTGTTTTGTACGAAAAGCTGGAAAAAGAAAAACCGACGCAGCTCCCCCTTTCACCCAATTCAGGATCGGGTGGCTTTTTCGGTCATAGTTCAAAAAGTATTATAACAGTTGAAGGTTAGTTACTTGTATACACATACACATATTTCAGCCATACATGTATTATAACTTTTGCATGCTTGTCTTAAATACAGAAGGTTTCCTGCCCCAACTTTTCAATAAAGTGTTGGAGGAAGAAGTACAGAATACAAATTTGTTGGATGCAGATGGGGCAGCAACATTACTTCATGAAATACGAAGCATGCCAAACAAAAAGCAATGCTTCTCATTTGACGGGGCTGTGGGAACTTTTGCATTCTATAGATGGGTGTGTATTAGTAACACGGTTTTTTAATATGTTCTACAATGGTTAATATTCAACATTTTCTTCAATTTTCACAGTTAACCAATGCATATGACATACACGCAACTACTGTCATAGGAAGGTACCTGGAGGAGAACAACATGATCAACACCAACAATTACGCAAAATTCAGATTCTGGTTCCAAAAAGTTTTTTGGAAAAGGAATACAACACGGAATGCGTTCAAGACGTGTTTTTCATATCAGGACATGGCTAATCGACTCTCCTTGACAGCGCTTGAGTAATTTGTTATTTGATACGCTATGGCCTCTGATGATTTTTTGGGGGGTTTTAGTTGTTCAACTGGGTTTTATAAAAAGCATTTGATACATTGAAAACATATGAGTTTCTTTCCTTTCATCATCACATGTAAGGGGGTGGGATGCTGGGGGTGCCCTGCTGATATATTGCGAACATTTTGTAAATTTTTGAACATTGTCCAACATTTCTATTAACTTAATCACTTTTGAAAATCCTTTTTTGGAAAAACCAAAAATGTAAGAAAACTGAAAAATGCATGTAATGCAATAATCTGTAAGTTTTGCTTCGTATCCTTTTCAAAATACACCTATATAGTTAGAAAACTCATTTAGCGCGCATGTAATTTTATAAGAAAGTAGAAGTTTGATTTGGTCTCCTTTCCATCCCGCAAACAATATACAGTATCTTATTACCAATAAAGAAATACTTTACTTCAACTACCGTTGTTTGCAAATAAGTAATGTTTTTTAACGGTTTTCACGCATTCTTTGCCTTTGCAGATGAGTCGTCACGAATCACCAGATTTTTCAATCCTGACCCTTGATGATTACCGCGGTTTCATCCGTGCATTCTGAAAAAGAGTGAGGGGTCCTGATGCAGAATCCTTAAGTGTCAACCTTGTAAAACGTTGGAGGAGGCCTGTGCAGGCGCGTATTATTTGTATACTTAAAGAAAAGTTTGTGTCGAGGACAACGGCTCTGTTACTTGCAAAGCATGTTCCGTTTCGTCTTCTCAAGAAACTGAACCTAAACCTCTACACCAGCAAGTACTTCTTAAGATCATCAGCACTCTCAGCATTGTACACCGGGCCTCATGCTGAATGCAGTAAAAATGCTGAAAGCATTGAGGAAATTTCCATGCCTACGTCAGGAAATTCTTCTGCATCAGGAATTTGCCCAGGTTAATATTGTTGCCACCGTTTATTTTCAACAACGGGATTGTGAAATATAATTGCTAGCGCACCAGGCGCAGCCAAGCGTAGCGGAAATACATTAGCTTAAAAGGGTCGTGCGTAAAGTGAAGGGTGTTGTGGTCGTTAATATGACTACACTAGAATATGCTAGCGACCCAAGTGATGATGAAGCAGATGTGATTCGTGACAATAACATTGTCAAAGTTGCTTTTTGCGGACCTGATTTATCGGAAAACATAGTTAATAACTATGCTTTCATTTCCTTTGTACAACATTTCTTAATGATTTATGCAAAAATGTCAAGAAGACATTATGAAGAATTTGTTGCTGCAACGCAAAAGTTTTGCCCTGTGTCAAACTGGAATGAACTGCCGGAATCTGCAATTACTCTTATGAAGGTAGGTAAAATTAATTCCTTTATACTCAAATTTCATCAATCCATCTTAGTATGATTGGAACATTGATAACATTCCTGAAGTGAAAGCATCATGATGAAATTTGTTTCACCTTAATTTTATACTCAAAGTTCGTCAATCCATCTTAGTATGTTTGGAACATTGATAACATTCCGGAAGTGAAAGCATCATAATGAAATTTGTTTCACCTTAATTGTAATACGTTCATAATTCTTACGTATAATGAACTTTTTATATGTTTTATCTCTGATAAAAGGTACCGAAAGGAATGTTTGGAAAGCCGAAAATTTACGACGTTTCTGGGAAGTTGCCAAAGGTTTTGCAGTACAAGGAAGTTTTAACCAAAACGAATGGAATTTGGTACCTGCACTTGGGATTAAAAGAAGCTTTATTGGGAAAATCACCAGGTATTGCTTTATATATAGTCCACCTGTATATGGTGGAATTTCATTGAAAACTTTTGTTCAGTAAAAACTTATAAAAATAATTCATTCCCAACTTTTCATGCAGGTTTACTAAACAGAGAGGAGTATGCACGACTTTTAACTCAAGTACACGCCCTGCATGGTGATATTTTCACAAATGACTTCCTGTCAGCTCTTGAACCAAGCATCAAGAATGTATTGATGCATGGAAATACATTTGACCCAATAATGCCAAAAACACGCTCGCCAGCCGTACGTACAAGTGAAACATGCATTTGGATAGATTTACACATAGATGGTGTACAAGCGTTTGACAATTCAATGAATAAAGAGGTGAGTGGCGATACTTCACATTATCGCTAACAATGATTTCATTTAATTTAATTGTAGGTAAAACCAATCTTGATGCGAGTATATGGGTTTGGCACAACTGACACTGTGTTACCGACAGTAATTGTGCCTTTGGAAAAATCGCATCCAATGATAATTGGTATATATCATGGACATGGAAAACCAAATCTCTTTGGTTTTCTTCACTTAATGTTGGAGGAGGCACTGGGTCTTCATCCAGACTTCATACCGGAAAATAGGAACGAGGGAGACAAGCGTCCTTTTGCTGTAAGGGTTAGGTGCGTGATAGCAGATGGAAAAGAGAGGTCAATTTTAAAAGGTTAGTCACTTATTCCATATTTGGTGAGTTTAACAAATCTTTGTTTTTCATCAGTTGCATAAGTGTATTCTAAAACTATTGGATTCTAGTATATAGTTTAATACAGGCGTATTCATCATAAATTACTTAGTAAAAAATACATATTCAATTCAATAGCCCAGCATATTCAATGCGTAATATTAAGATACTTATTGTACAATTGTGATTTAAGCTCCGAAAGAAAATTGAAAGTAAGGTTCCGCAACTTGTATATTGAATTCCTATGCATTCTGGAATGATTATCACGGTACGCACTGGATGCGTTACATAACGTTACGTAACAATAAACGTAACGGTAAACGCATTTAATGTTACGGTAAACCTGTTGAAGATTCATAAAATAAAATGTTTAAAATGAAATGAAATAAAATTACTGAAAATGGACAAATTAAAAGTATTTACTAATACAATTTAATATAATGATTCCCCTTGCCTTAAAATTTTTATGCTACTGCACTTTTCAAATATCATTCAGGAACAGCATCAAGTGGGTACAACTCATGTGAAAGGTGCGAGACTTTTGGAGAAAATGTGGGAGGTTGTGTTAGATTTTCAAATTTGGACACACCTGTTCGACATGACGCAAGTTGGGATGCATATACTGCACACAATGGCGATACAAAATTTGCGCACCGGCGTCATGATTCCCCATTCAATGATTACGGGATTGTGTCTATGGTTAGTATTACATGCTGCTGCATGGTATCTTCGGAAATTTTCTTTATTGTATACATTGTTGGTAATTAATTGTGGATGGATATTATACATGCAGGTACATGGCTTTGCTTTAGATGGCATGCACATCGTTGGTGGAGGTGCAGTGATCCTTGGTTTGAAAACACTTTTCGGGATTCATAAATTCATGGATTCCCGAGTGCGTGCTTCCTTAAGGGTAAATCTTGTTCTTGTGAACAAGTACCTGCAAGCTTGGTCATCACACACACTTTTGGAAGTCAACAGATGCGTGAGGACAATCGATTATATCGATCAATGGAAAATGCGGGAAGCGCACGATTGTCTCATGTACCACATGATCGCATTACTTGGAGTTCCAGAGCTT